GAAAAAAAGAATAAGGACTTGAGATGCAGAGCCACATAGCAGAAAGTACTGGGCCTGGAATTCCCAAGGCCTGGCTCTGGTCTCTGGCCAAGGCTGGCTTTATGTGGACAAAGGACAAGTCATTGCTTTTGAATGTCCTCTTTTTTTTTTAAAATTTTATTTATTTATGTGTATGTGTGTGGCCAGCTCAGCCCACCAGGGGGCGGGGCTGGCTGGCATGTGGTGCTGGGGGATTGAACTGTGGTCCCTGTGCTTTGCTAAGCTTGTTCTAAGTAGGTGCTCCAGACCACTGAGCCATCTCACCAGCCCTGAATGTCCTCTTTTCTGTGCAGGCGGGCAATAGTATTTGCCCTGCCTGTTGCGTGGAATGTGTACAAGTTCTATGTTAGTCAAAGCCTTGAATTAATAATTTACTGTGCTTACCAGCACAGTTCACACGTAAATTGCCCATTGATATTAATATTGAACATGTATTGAATATTTACAGGCTATATAAATAATAGCCATGAATTGTAATAAAGAAGCCTGTAGAAAGATCACCCTTAATCTCATTTACCGCTATGAAATTTTTTATTAAGTAACTATTAAAATTTTATTTGCTTTTCACATTTTTTGCCTAGCTTGTATTATGTGTGTTTTTTTCTTATAAACAGTTCATATTACAAGATAAAGTTTTGCCAACACAGTGAATTATGTTGATGAATTTTATCTCTGTATGTTGAATTAAGATAAAAATTTTCAAAGGTGCTAAAAGTACTTTCTGAGCAAACCTTTCACTTGCAGAGAAGTTAGGGAGATAGGGAGAGGGAGAGGGACGGTCTCATATGTCATCAGAGGGCTTATCAAACCATAAAGCCATTTAGAGAAACACTTTGACGTTTCCTCTCAAATTCCCACAGGGTCACCTTAGTCTGAGGCAGGGTTTCTCAGCTGCCCCACCTTAATCTGGGGCAGCACAGGGGAGAACACAGTTCCTCCTGGTGGTTTTCCTCAGCGCACCTCACCCTGTGTTTGTGGTCCCTTTATTGTGCTGGTTATTATGAGGGCAATGGAGTTTCATTGAGACCTCTTTTCGTTGACTCTGCTGTGTGCACTTTTCTGATTTCTGCAGTTGGACTTCAAGGTGCAGAATGTTCTGGAAAGCAGCCACGCTGCTCAGCCTGGTCCTGGGCTCTGGAGCTGTGCCCATCAGTGTAGATGACGACCCCGAAGATGGTGGCAAGCACTGGGTGGTCATTGTCGCGGGTTCCAACGGCTGGTACAATTATAGGCACCAGGTGAGAAAATGACTCTTTTTTTTCCTTTATGACACCGGCATCTGTAGACAATCCTGGCCATTGTTAGGATGGAGAGACCATTTGTACACCTGTAAGGCTGGCAAGGATGTGGGGAAACTGGACTCCTCATATGTCATCAGAGGGCTTATCAAACCATAAAGCCATTTAGAGAAACACTTTGACGTTTCCTCTAAAATTCCCGCAGGGTCACCTTAGTCTGCGGCAGGGCTTCTCAGCTGGCGCACTGTTGGCACTCGGGCTAGATAAGCATTGCGGGGTGTGTGCAGCATCTTTGGCCTCTGCCCCTTATGTAGCAGCGGCATCACCCAGGCATCTCTAACAACCCAAGATGCCCCCAGATGTTGCTGAGTGGCATGGGGACAAGAATCACAGTGGTCTGACCTCTTCTTCTTTTTTTTTTTTTGGAGGAACTGGGGATTGAACTCAGGCCCTTGCACTTGCCAGGGAAGTGCTTATTCCACTGAGCCATCTCCCCGGCCCCAGACATCTTCATTTTATAGATAGGGAGACTGACGACTAGCGAGAGGTGGTGGCAAGGCCATAGCGCAAGCGGAGACAGACAGGCCTGAAGCCCTGGGCTCCGGCATACGCACCTCGCCCCCTCTGCCTTCCACACGTAGGTGGGGCTGCTGTCCTCACCCCTGTGCCCCCATTTACCTGTTTGGGGATGTGTCAGACTAGTCCCCAAAGGGGCTGTGAGACAGCAATTCAACTACTGGGAACAGACCCAAGATAAGTGCAAACACTTCCACATAGGCACTTCACAACTGATCATTTCAGCCATACCATGACAGCGAAGAGGAAACGTCCCCCAGCCAGGGAGTACCTCAGATTCTTGGTCCCTCTTTATGGGTGGTTGGCTGAAGGGTAGGTCCTGGGAAATTTTCTTTTCTTTTTTTTTTTGTGGGGAGGGGTACAGGGAATCGAACTTGAGACCTTGAGCTTTCCAGGCAGGCACTTAGGCGCTCAGCTATATCTCTAATCCTGAAATTTTCTAGTACTTACATTTTAAAGCTAAAAGCACAGGCTGAATTAATATCTTCCTTAAACAAGTGCGTCCAAGCCGTTATCATTTCCACATGAAATCACAATAGAGGATGAGATACCTTGCATTCTTTTTGGTGCTAAGTCATTGGAATCTAGTGGGTGACGCATTCAAGCTGTATCAGGTCGGACCAGCCACGCTCCCAGGCTGTGGCCAGTGGCCCCTGTGATGGATGTGTTGGGATAGAACCTGTGTCCCTGGCCACCTGTTCCTGCCTTAGAACTGGGCAGGTACATTTTCCCACAGTGTTTATTTTTATATCAGGTTCGTATCTGTTCAACACAGAGGCGGCTCAGGTAGCTGAGGCTGTGACTCATTCCTTGAGTGGGTTTTGTGTGTTGGCCAAACGGAAAATTTAGCTTGATTAAAAAGTTGTTAGGGGGGCCAGGGAGATGCGCCAGGGCCTGAGTTCAATCCCCGGTTCCGCAAAAAAAAAAAAAAAAAAAAAAAAAAAAAGTTGTTAGGGTGGCAAAATGATCCCTATCCTTTTAATATGTAACCACCCCTGGGAGAGGAGCACCAGTCTGGCTGTGTGGCTGGGTCTCCTCCCACCCCCAGCCACGAGATGGGTAGCTAGTTGTAAGTCTAGTGAACATGCTTATTCATCAGCTGCAATCAGTTAAAATAATATGTTGGTTAAACATTATTAAATAGGACTTATCCAATTACCCTTGGTTCTCAAAGAAAGCCCTTCCCCCCACTTTTTTTTTTTTTACAGTACTGGGGATTGAACTCACAACCTTGTGCTTGCCAGACAGGCACTTTTGCTGCTGAGCTATATCCCTAGCTCTAGGAACCCTTTTTTATGGTATTTATTGAATGAGAAAAAAGGGAATCAGGGTAAAAATAGTGGCCACAGACCAAGCTTTGTGTCCCTGAATAGAGGATGATGGCATTGAGGCTGTGCGCAGATGAACCATGTGCCGCATTGTTGTGACCGTAGCCTGGGTCCCTGCTGGCCCATGTCTGTTCCTGGCCTGCCGCCAACATGTGCTTCCTCAGCACTGGAGATTACACCCAAAGAGAACCTGAGAGAGCTTTCCCCGTAGGACCTCATGTGTCAGTGGAGGTGTCTATCTCCCTTGGATTAAGAACACCCATTCACAGTGGTCTCTTTTGTTCAGGGTCAACGCCATCGTGGTTGTTGCTGAGCACTGTGCTCTATGATGATTATTTTAATTTTGTAATCATGTATTTATTTATTTGTTTGTTTGTTTATTTGGTACGAGGTCTCGCTATGCAGCTCAGACTCATAGTGATGCTCCTGTCTCAGCCTCCCCAGTGCTGGGATTACAGGCGTATGCCACTATGCTCAGTTTCAGGGGTTAGCATGGTGTGCCCAGGATTCTGGGGCTGGTGTAGCATGTGGTACCAGAGACATACCCAGTCCTTGTGCTTGCCAGGCATGTGCTTAGAGTGCTGGGTTATCTCTCCAGCCCTGTGGTGGTTATTTTGGACTTGTTTTGTCTTGACCGGGTTAGACTTTTGATTTCCACTTTGAACAGATGGCGCATTGCCTGGCCTCCAGGGTGCCAGTAGGACATTCTGCCTCCAGCTGCCTGAGGGCAGAGTCCAGGGTCTGGGGACTGCTGTGTGCAGGTGGCCTGGGCTGGGGTGGGGCACGGGCAGACATGTAGACGGGATAGCAGGGCTAGGAAGAAGGCACAGGGGCTTGGGAGGTGAGGTGTGATCCCAGAACGTACCCAGAGGAGCTCAGCAGCCAGGAGTGGCCTGGGAGCTGAACTAAGAGGAAACATCCTCCCTGGTCCTCTGCATCCGGCACGAGCAGGTGCCTGGCACAGATGCCAGCTTGAGGCGCTGATGATGCAGAGAACCCGTGCTGACCTCCTGCTGCCTCTGATGGAGGTTGTGGCTTGTGTCATCTCAGTCCTCGGACATTGTGAGATGGTTGGTCCTGGAGTGGCTGAAACTGATGTGCAGAGAGGGGGAGTAACTTGGCTCCGCTCACCCAGCTCTAGCAAGGGGCGGAGTAGGGATATGAACCCAGGTAACGTGGCTCCACAGCTCATACTTTTTCTTTATTACCTAAAGAGAATACATATAGTAAAAAAAAAAAAAAAAAAAAAAAAAAGAAAGAAAGAAAAGAGAGAAAAAGAAAGGAAGGATATAGAACTTTACCAACTTCACCAACAAAACAATAGGTACTTGACAATGGTTGCTGTATTGCATAATGTTGTCTTCAAATTGGTTATTCAGGTTACCAGATACAAGCATGCAAAATTGGTTAAAAAAAAGAAAAAAAGTTATAGAAAAGAAATTTAAAAAGAATAAGAAAAAAATTCATGCTTTAAAAATATTTTTTTCTTTTTTATTAAAAAACCCCAACATATTCAAGGTTTTTTTTTTGTTTTTTTTGTTTTTTTTTTTTGTATTTTAGGGTCTACAGGGTATTCAGGGTCTCACTACTAGATTGGACTCCTAGTGACCCACCTGTTTACAGCCTCCCAAGAGCTGAGATTACAGGCCTGTACCACCACGTCCAGTCTCAATTGCTGTATCAGCATGCCCCAGGGGCTGGCCAGCCCTCAAGGTTTTTTTTTTTTTTTTTTAATGGAAAAATTAGAAAAAATAAGTGAGCAGAAGAGAAATGGTTATTTATTTTTAAAAAATTTTGTAAATGTATTTGTTTGTTACAGGGTCTTACTACGCAGCTCGGACTCATGGTGATCCTCCTGCTTCAGCCTCCCCAGAGCTGGGATTACAGGCATGCACCGCTATGCCTGGACTCCAGGGCCAGCTCAGCCTGCCCTGAGGGTGGGACCTGCGTGGCATGTGGTACTGGGGATTGAACCGCTGTCCCTGTGCTTGTCTAAGCTTGCCTAAGCAGGCATGTTAATCAAAAGCGGTTATTTATATGGCTCAGGTTAGCAGTTTCTGGCATCACAGTGGATTCCTGGGCGTGAAGACAGTCTGGACACACTAGGCATTTGTTGGGGACACTTTTCCCCCTGGCCGGTTTTCGTGTACTGATACCTGGGTGGAAGGCAGAAGGAGGTGGGTTCCTGCATGGTTCCCTCAAGCCCGGTCCGGGTCCAGGACAAGGGCTGGAGCATTAAAGGCTTCATGGAACAGAGACTTGAGGGTGGCCTGAGGACAGCAAAAGCATGGGCCTGGAATAGCAAAGCCACAGTGAGGACCCGGCGAACACCCGCTAGGGGCCAGCCAAGCACCTAAGCCCCACTGGCTGCAACTGAGGTCCTTCCCAGTTTTCCTCCTCCGTCTTTGTATTGATGATGTGTCTTCACATAGGCCCTCCTAATGGTTGTAAGATTGCTGGGGCAGCTCAGGCGTGGCCTCCTAACAAAACCCTAAGGAGGCCTGCTGTGTCTCTGAATGCCATGCTGTCAGTCACAGCATAAATCTTTTTGCATGACTTTACCCCTAGTTTGCCAGGCCAGAATTGCGTCACATGTTGCCACTGTTGAAATCAGCTCTGACTCAAGGAAGCTCCTGACTTCGATAGAAAGAAGATGACAAGAGGGCATGCCAGGACAGTGAGGGCCGCAGTTCCAGGAACCAGACCCTGACGGGTGGTGTGGGGGCTGGAAAGTTTGAGTGCGGGCAGAGTGAGGTGTACCAGGGCCCGTGGACCCGCTAAGTCAGCTAACTCGTTCCCTTGACAGAGCTGAATAGAGAAGTCCTACTGGCCCTGCCTCACACAGCTCTGCACGGCAGGGCCCTGCCTGGCCCCCGCCCCCAAGTCAGAGCCTCGCTACTGCTGCTGTGTGCTCTGAAGGGCCAAGTAGTAAATATTTGAGGCTTTGTGGCTGAGGCCAGGCAGAGGCTGATGGATTGCAGTGAGGGAGTGGACAGGGCGAGCTGGCTGTGTGGTTTCCCAACAGGCTGTCCTGTGTGCTGTAGGCACAAGGGCTGAGAGGGTGCCGTGCCCAGCTGGGGTGGGCCAGGGGCCATCAGGAGGCCGCATAGGGTCTGGGAAGAAGCAGCTTCGACTTGCATGGACCTGCTGTGTTAGTGGGAACATTTCAGCCCTTGCTCTGGGGTGGGGCTCAGCAAGGACCCTGCAGAGCTCCAGCCCGGCCCCTGTGTGCCTAGGATGTGGGAAGGTCGAGAGAGGAACTGTGCAGACCTGGCTGGGGAAGGGCCCCTCCCTGCGACTGGAGTGCGCCACATGTGGCCTGTGACCCCAGTAGTAGCCTTGTACAGCGTACAGGTTGGCCACTGGGGCCAGGGACAGGAAGGGCAGCAGCCTGCATCGGGAGTCATGGGATGCCTTAGGCTGAACTCACACCAGCTCTGAGAGTGCTGAGTCATGACAATCTCTGCCCCGCATTCCAGCCTTGCTCAGTACCCCACTGGCGTCCCCTCACGTGGCCTTTCTGCTTTGTTTTTGGTTTGCATGTCATCCTTGCACAGGGGTCATGGTAATCCTTGTGTGGCTCCAGTTTTAGTATACTCAGCAGCATGGGCTCTCTGCCACAGGGAAAATTTCACATAGGTCAGATGTGTCACAGGAAGTGCCTCAGGTGGCCTTTAGTACCACTTTCCAAGTGCCAGCGGGCTGGAACTTTGCTCCCACAGAGAAGCCTGTGAGTGAACTGGACAGTGTAGTATCCTCGAGGATCCTAGTGAGAGCCCAGGCTGACTTGGAGACCCCAGTGTGTGAGGAAGGGGCATGGGCGTGTCTGGTGGGTGGACTGGGTTTGCATCTTGCTGCCCACTTTCAAATGAGGATAAAAGCATCTGATGGCGAGATGATGCTGGGGGCTCCCAGCAGTGCGTGGGGTGTGGAGAGGGCTCCGCACAGCAGACCCGCGACACCTGGCTTGCTCCTTATTTCTTCACGGTGTCTTTGATGCACCAAAGCATGTGAAAGGCTGGATCTTCATGGCCTTAAAGAGGAAGAAGGAAGATGAAGAAAGCAAAGCATCAGGTTGCCTAGCTCCACAGAGGCTCTTCTAGTTTACACAGCAGAATCAGCTGATGCCACCTATCTCATACATTAAACAATGGCTGACTATAGAAAATACTTGGTGACTATTTAAAAATGGTTATCTTTTTTGACTTTTAGCCATGTGTCCTCTCCTTGGGCCTCTGTAACTGTAATTTTTCTGTTGCCTCTTCTCGAATCCCTGTCAAGGTGTGGAGGCAGAAAGTGAGCTGTGTCGCCGCACCTCCCTAAATTGCCCTTTCCTGTCTGTAAAGGGGGTGTTGGTGGTGACCTGTACCCCCTAGGCTGCTCTGCTGAGAGAGGAAAGAGATCTCACTGGGGAGACCTTAGCGCAGAGTTGGGTGCGGGGAAGAAAGCCCGGGATGTGTTTGCTTTCTGATGAGCCACTCATCCGCCTGGAGCAGCTCTGGTCTGCCGGGCCCTGGACCTGCCCGTGCCATGTTCAGCCTCTGCACCCAGCACCATGACCCAAAGGCACTGCCTGGGCCACTACAGAAGCCAGCTCAGTGTTGGCCGAGCTTAGGGTGCTGAGTGCTGTTTGGGGATGTGATGGAGGCTGGGACTACCCTGGGTAGGCTGTGGCTCGTCCCTTCATGCTCTCGCAGGCCTTGTTCAGGAAAGGAGGAATTCGTGGCAGAGAGAAACTTCCAGGCAGTGTTTCCCCTCTGTTCTCAAGTGCTTTCTATGTCATGGAGGGCAGTGCAGGTCATCTGAAATAAGGAAGCAGCATGCCGTACCCCTGTGTGCACAGGGGGTTGTGTAATAGAAATTGTCTACGGCCCCTGAGACTGCTTTCTTCTTTTCTTAACTGGAGGTTAAAAAGTTTCTCATTGCAGTTCCTGAGTTTAATTTCTTTCTTTTTTTTTATTTTTATTTTTATTTATTTATTTATTTATGTATGTATTGTGTGTGTGTGTGTGTGTGTGGCCAGTTCAGCCCACCAGGGGGCGGGGCTGGCTGGCATGTGGTGCTGGGGATTGAACTGCGGGTCCCTGTGCTTTGCTTAGCTTAGTTTGTTCTAAGTAGGTGCTTTAGACCACTGAGCCATCTCACCAGCCCTTAATTTCTTTTTTGGTGGGGGAGGAGGTACAGTTCTTTCTTTGTAGTCCAGGTGGGCTGGAATTTGCCAGGTAGCCCAGGGTGGCCTCAAACTCGAGCCATCCTGACTGCTGGGATTACAGAGGTGTGCTACGATGCCTGGCCTGAGGGGAACTTCTGAATGTTCGTTCCATTCTCTGAACAGTGGCTATAGCAGATCCAAAATTACTCAGGCCAGAAAAGAATCCTGTGTAATGTAAAATTAGCTGCTAAGCTTTTTTTCTTTCTCTCTTTTTAAAAATTTTTAAGAAATCTTTTATTTATTTGGTACAGGGCTTACTATGCAGCTCAGACTCATAGTGATCCTCCTGTCTCAGCTTCCTCAGTCCTGGGATTACAGGTGTGTGCCACCACGCTCAGTTTTGGTGGCTGGCGCGATGTGCCCAGGGTTCCAGGGCTGGCACGGCAGCATGTGATACCAGGGATCCACCCCAGATCCTTGTGCTTGCCAGGCAGGCATTTAGACTGTCAAGCTATCTCCTCAGCCCCTGAGATTTTTTTTCTTTAATGAGCTCTCACTAGTTATATATTTGTGTAATTATTTTGGTATGAGACAAAATCTTGCTAGGTAGACAGGCTGGATTTCTGCTTCGGTCTCCCAAGTGCTGGGTTGACAGGTGTGTGTCCTCATGTCCAGCCGCTGCTGATCTTTTTGTATGTTTGCTTGTTGGGACAGGGTCTTGCTGTGTAGTTCAGGGTGGCTTTGAACTCTGTGGCCCGGGCTGGCCTCAGACACAGCAATGCTCCTGCCTCAGCCTCCCGAGTGCTAGGATTACAGCAGTGCACCACTGTGCCTGGCACCTGCTAACCTTTGAACCCACTGGCTTTTCATCACTCTCAGTTGTTCTGTTTTTGAGGCCTAAACCCAGAATTCCCACATCAGCCTCCGCTGGGAAGCAGCAGCCCCCAAAACCTCACTCGATCCTTCCTTCCAGGCTGATGCGTGCCACGCCTACCAGATCATTCACAGAAATGGGATTCCAGATGAGCAGATTGTTGTGATGATGTATGATGACATTGCCAACTCTGAGGAGTAAGTAGAGAACACTTAGAACTTGTTGATGACGTTCAACATTAAAGATAAAAAGTGGCACCCAGAGCCGTGGTCTGGCGTAGGATTTACGCCGCCAGCCAGATTCCCCTGGCAGGCTCCCCGCTGCGGTCCCTGGAAGAACACTGCCCCGTGGCCCTTTACTGAGATCCGTCCCCAGCTATCTCAGGGAAGCCATTCTGAGCCTTCAGCCCTGTGCCCTGGTGTTGAAGAATTGGTTTTTGTCCTTTTTCTGAGAGGATTTTTCCCCTGAGGTCCCTTGATGAGAGTGTGGTGTGGGTTGCCTCCGCGCTCGCCCCGTGGTGCATTTCTGGAGCTCTGCCCCTCCTGATGTTGCCGAGCGTCCATGGGCTGTGGGACCCCGAGATGCCCACGCTGCTGAAGCTCAGGGCGCACTGATGGCTGTGCAGGCCACAATGATAAATGTCTCCGGCACACGTGCTCTACTGCTTTTTCGCTGGATAGGGACGTATTATAAAGAAAGACTTCAGAGGCTTGTCACATCTTGTATGTCATCTGTGTCCTTTAATTTTCAGAAACCCCACTCCAGGTGTTGTGATCAACAGGCCCGACGGCTCGGATGTGTACGAGGGAGTACTGAAGGATTACACGGGAGAGGTGAGCGCACTCAGGCCCGGAGCCGGCGGGCCGCACTTCTGTCTCACTGCAAGTTTTTCTTTCCTTCTTGTTTTTCCAGCATCAGAACCTTGACAGACTGATTTATAGTCAGTGTTTCAGGTTTATCTTAGGACTAGTGCTTTTAAAGTAGATGAGGAGAGATTTGTTTGTGCTTTGTTTCTTGGTGCTGGGCGGATGTCACACATTCTAGGCAAGCACACTACCGTTGAACTCTCTCCCTGGCCCTATTTTTTAATTTTTAATTTTAATTCTTATTTTTTTGGCAGTACCAGGGATCACACTCAGGACCTTGCGTTTGCCAGGCAGGCAGGCGCATATGCTGCTGAGCTATATCCCCGACCCTGTCTCTGTTTTTTTGTGACAAGGTCCCTCTATGTTACCCAGGCTGCTCTCAGACCTGGGGCTCAAGTGATCCTCCTGCCTCAGCCTCCCGAGCAGCTGCGACTGCACTAGGCAATGCTCACCTGTGAGAGTTTTGAGAGAAAACAGAAGGGGAAAAATGGAGTGTTCCAAATAAATTGCAGTCCACTGATAGGTTCTTGCTAATCTTTGTATGTTATATGCCTATTTCCGTCCATAGTAATCTGATTTTCTTGCTCTTAATTTGATTATAGATGATCAATGATTAGCTTTCTCAGCCCCAAAGCCAGAGCATAGTATCTCAAGATTTTCCTAAAGATGGATTTTGTTAATTATTATTATTCTCTTTTGTTTTTTGAGACAGGGTCTCACTGTGCAGTTCAGGGTGGCCTTCAGCTCACTGTGTAGCTCAGGGTGGCCTTGAACTCCTGCCAGCCCTCCCACCTCAGCTTCCCAAGTGCTGGGATTATAAGCATGTGCCACCATACCTGGCATAATTATTATTCCTTTTTTTTTTTCAGTACTGAGGATTGAATTCAGGACCTTGCGCTTGCCAGGCAAACATTTATTCTACTGAGCTATCTTCCTGGCCCCATAATTGGTATTCTATATCACCTACAAAAATGGTTATATTCCTCCCGTTGGTTGATACCATATCAAGTGACCCATATTTAATAATATGATAGTGAGTTTAGTCTCATGGGTTTCATAGTCTGTTTAATTTAATCTCTGATCTAGTTGTTGCAATAAAGAAATATTCATTTGAACTTTAGCATTTCTTTCAGACTGTGTTTCCCTTTTTGTTTGTTTTGCTTTGTTTGAGACAAGGGCGATTGCTGATCCTCTTGCCTCAGTCTCCTTAGTGCTGGGGTTACAGGTGTGTGCCGCCACATCCGGCCCCGTTTGTGTTCTAAATTCAGATATGATCAGATTTAAGATAGCATGTGCAGTATAGTTGGTCCTCTCTTAATGAGATTGTTACTATGTAGTTAATATGAGGAAAGGTTGGACTCTAGGGAATAGGACTTTTGATTGTATTATTTTTCCTTTTTTTTTTTTTTTTTTGGTATTTCAATGATCAGATATCAGTTTTACACAGTTCTCTGTAAGGCAGTGAGTACCCTTGGGACGCAGCATCTTAGGCAGCACGCGGATGCCCATCTCCTTCCTGGAGTGCAGGGCCTGGAGTGGCCCTAGAGTGTGCCCTCCTGTGCTGTTTTTCCCTGCTGTCGCCCTTTGCTGTTCTCCACCAGATCCCTGGTGCTCAGGGGGCGTGGCAGCCTTGGCCAGTCACCACCAGCCACAAATACGATGGCACTTACACTAGTGGCGGGCACACGCCCCGAGAATGCCGCACTTGCTGTGCCCTCAGAGGTGTGTGGCGCTTGGCCTGGGCCTGCTGCAGGCTCTGGGAGCTGCCCTGGCAGGACTGACAGCGGCCTCTGACTCTGCCTCCGTTCCTGCAGGATGTGACCCCAGAAAACTTCCTTGCGGTGCTGAGAGGTGATGCAGAGGCAGTGAAAGGCAAGGGGTCTGGAAAAGTCCTGAAGAGGTAACGTGGGGTGGGAAGCCTGGCCTGGGGCTTGAGCTCCTTCCTTCCCGAGGCGCTTCGTGCTGCTCGCCCAGGACAGCTGCACGGCGGTGATGTTTCCGCAGCTTCTCTTGACAGCCTTGTGCTGAATTAGGCCTGTCATCTCGGGTCCTTCATTTTGTTTTTCTTTTTGGGCATAGTATGAGGGACTGAACCCAGAGGCTTTGCATAGAACTACATCTCAGCCCTTTTTCTATTTTTTATCTCAAGATAGGTTCCTGTTAAGTTGTCCAGAATGGTTTTGAACTTGCGATTCTCCTACCTTAGCTTCTCTTAGTCGTCCTAGACTGCTAGGATGACAGGCGTGTGCCCCTGCATCTGGCTTTCCCTCATTACTCATAAATGTTCCTGTCGCATAAGCTGCTGTCTTCGTTGCCTGTGGAGCATGGCTCTACCTGTGACCAAGGAAGCTCAGAGACGGGTGTGACTCCCTGCAGGGGCCAGGCTGCAGACCCCCACCTGTGCTGTGCTCCTAGGTTGGCCCCATAGGAAGGTCTGACATTTGCCCTGAGGAAAACCAGCCCCAGGGTTTGCCTCTCTGGTTGTGGGCCAGAGAGTCTCACTGCTCCCTATTTCCTCAGGTAGCATTTCCCAAGAACCCGAAAGCATCAGGTAGTGTTTTCTTGGAGGCTGAAAGGGAAAGAAGCCCAGGCATGAGCTGAGCTTCCAGGAGAGCAGAGGGGGACATCTGTGTCCGTGACCTGAGTGCACTCCCATGGGGTCCCTGTAGCCCTGGGGAGCAGGAGGAGCACCCAGGGGCCCCCAGCGGAGAGGACAGTTGTGCTGCTTGGCTGTGCGTCCTGGAGCCTGGCCACTTGGGGAGAAGCCCGATTTCCGAGCCCCCCTTGCTTTCGCCCTACTCCACAGATCCTACGAGGCTGGTGACCGGCTGCCAGTCAGTGGTCTCCCTTTCTCCAGCCTTTGTGTCACTCCAGGGCTCCAGGCTGGGCTTCCAGGCTGGGGCAGAATAGCACCTGGGGCCAGAGAGGAGGCCACACCTGGGCCTTGGGTTCCTCTTCCACTCTCACTGGGCAACCATAATCTTCAGACTTCTCCTTCACTTTTTGATGAGGGCAACTTTTCAGAGAATTGGAACTAGGAAACCGTTACCCCTGGTTCTTGACGCCTGTCTTCTCTCCTGGCAGCGGGCCCCGGGATCACGTGTTTGTTTACTTCACCGATCATGGAGCACCTGGGTTACTGGCTTTTCCTAATGATGATGTGAGTTTTGCTTTGCACTGTGTGCACATGCATATGTGCGTGCGTGTGTGTGTGTGTGTGTGTGTGTGTGTGCGTATGTGCACATGTGTGCATACATGCTGGGGAATGAATGTGCCAGGGCTTTACCCATGCTTGGCCATTGCTCTACTGCTGAGTCATCCTCCTGGCATTTTTCTTACCATTTTAGAGACAAACTTGAAAAATAGAAAACAAAGCCTATTATATTGAAATGTAACCTGTTATGTATGTTTTCTAATGTCCCACCACAGGTTTGCATGTATGACAGGTGTGTGTCTGGGGGGTGCATAGCAACTCACAGGCTTATCAAGGACATCTCTTCCAGCTGGTGTCCCTTACATGTCACAGCAGCAGGAGCTGTCTCAGGCCAGGGTGTTTCACACTAGACCCAACAGAGTCATCGCTGGGGAAGCCCATTCTCCTCCCTTTGTAATACGTGAATACAGCCCTTGAGCTTCCATTCAGGCACTGTGCTGTTCACTGTGCTTATTTGTGCATGTTGACGGCCTAGCCCACTGGTGGCTCATCTGGGTGTGCCATTCAGAGTGTTGGTGTTCTTTCTTTGCAGCTCCACGTCAAGGACCTAAACAAGACCATCCGTTACATGTACAAGCACCAGATGTACCAGAAGGTAACGGTGGCTGGGACTACCTTGGGGAGTGTGGAGGTGGCAGAGGGAGCAGAGCCCCCATCATACCCTGGCTGTCTGGGTTTTCTGAAAAGGGTTCCTTCCAAGTAGCACAGACCCCTGGTGTCCTGCAGTTTATGCTGTGTGTGATTCTAGGATCTCAGCTATTTGATCAGGATTATTGCTTGTTCACCACTATGGCCTCACTCCTGGGACAGCCCTAGCGATGTCAGGGAAAGGCTGCCCCAGGCAGGTCTGGGGACCACACTGGAGATGGCTGCTCCTAAGATAGTCTCCAATTTGGGCCAGTTGGGGAGGAACACAACACCATCCATATTATTTTATTTCTGCTTTTGTCCTCTTGCCTCTCTAGCACCTGTTGTAGAAATTGTGGAGGGGGGTGTCCAAAGTGAAAAACCCTGTATGTTTCCGTTAGCATCGGAGGGCTTCATGTTCCCCGCACTGTGTCAGCCAGGAGGTTGTTTTGCCCTGCTAGTGATGAATGCGTTGGATGCCTTGTGCAGTGGCTTCCCAGCCCTGGGCAGCAGCCTCTTTAGTCTCCCTAAAGCCAAAATGAAAGGCTTCAGCATGGATGGCAAGAGCGGCAGGGCCCGGAAGCATTAGCAGGGCTGGGCAGGCTCACCTGTCGTGTCTGGCTGGCAGATGGTGTTCTACATTGAAGCCTGTGAGTCCGGCTCCATGATGAACCACCTGCCCCAGGACATCAACGGTAGGTGTGGGCTCTGGGATGATCAGCTGGCGCCAGACCCCGCCGCTGGGAAGTGAGTGTGCCGCACCGCAGGGCCTTCGGGGGCAGCCTGGTGCAGATGTGCCTCTGGTGGAGCTCTGGCTTCCTCCGCTCCTCCTGGAAGACTCCAGAGTGAGCTTCACTGTGCGTTTCTGGGTCCTAGCCACGTACTTCTGTCCAAAGCTGCGTGGACTGTGGAACAGCACAGTCCTTTTGATGTGTTGTCACTGACTGCCTGGTCTCAGGCAGGCAACTTCGGTTGACCTCAGTTGTCCCCATCGGTAAAAAGGAGGGTGGGTAAAGAGAGAGAAGTCGTGCCAGGAGCTGGGGAGCCATGTTTTATAGAATGTGTCCAGCAAAGTTCAGAGGCCATGGTTCCTGGGCATGACGGGGTAAACGGTAAATGGCAGCTGTTCTAAAGCTTTAGTCCCACTGAAAATTTTTTAAATTAAATGAAATTTATCATTGTTTTGTATTTTGGTGGTACGGGCAATTGGAACCTGGACCCAGGGGCTCGCCCATGCTAGGCAAGTGCATTGCCTGAGAATTACATCCTCAGCCTATATCTGAATGTTGATTTAATGTTAATACACTCTTTCTATGGAAGCCAAATTAGGCCTGCATTTGCTTTTTTTTAATTCAGTGCTGGGGGTGAAACCCAGGGGCTCATGCATGCTCTCTTGCCCTGGCTGCATCGCTATTCTGTTTTTTAAGAAAGCATTTTCATTTACTTGTTGCTGTAAAAAGACTTGTCATTGGCTTCTTCTCTTTTCTTCTACATCTCATTTTGGATGCGTCTTTGTGCTGGTGGACAGGGCTGGTCACAGTTGTACCTACTCGTTCCCACCTCTCTGCCCTGAGCTGTGTAGGTGGCAGGCAGGCTGCAAGGTCCCCAGGGGAGAAGGAAGGACCCCAGATTCCACTGTAGTCCCTGGCACGGTACAGGGCACTGTGAGTCAGAGATCCCTTTGATTGATTCCTCGTAGTTTATGCAACTACTGCCTCCAACCCCAGCGAGTCGTCCTACGCCTGCTACTATGATGAGAAGAGGTCCACATATCTGGGTGACTGGTACAGCGTCAACTGGATGGAAGACTCGGACATGGTGAGCCCTTGGGGGACCCGCCAGCCACCTGCAGTTTAATGGTCAGGCTCTTGTCTCTGCAGGCCCTCACGCTTCCCTTTTTGCAGGAGGATCTGAGCAAGGAGACACTCCACAAGCAGTACCAGCTGGTGAAATCCCACACCAACACCAGCCACGTCATGCAGTATGGGAACAAGGTCAGTGGCCTCCTGAGCTCTCCCTGTTCCTTGAACTCCAGACAGACTCACCTAGAACCTTGGCTCTCGGTGAAGCAAAATGGATCCAGGTGATGAGTGACTGAGGAGGGACAGCTCTGCCTTGCACGGCCACTCAGTCCTGGGCATACTCTCAGGCTCAGGACCAGGCATCCCTAGGGTCAAACGTGCAGATTTTCGGCAAGTGATATGACCGCCCTGAGCCTGTGTCCTCATGGCCCACAGGGTCGCTGGCACATGAGAGAAGGCTGTACCTAGAAACCCAAGCCTGGCCTGGCTCACCAGTTCTGGAGGTGGAAGTGCCTGCCAGGCTTCCTGGCATTGTGCTGTGCACTCCACGCCCTCCTAGGTCCAGTGTCATTCTGAGCTTCAGTCATTGCTTTCCCTTTTGGAGAAATTTCCCCTGCCTCCATCCTCGCCCAGAGGAGCCTGGGGTGGTCAGGTAGGTGAGTCCATAAGGACTTGGCTGACTGCGAGTGGTGTGGCCTTACCAGTGCCAGTGGGCCAGGCCATGGTGCGTACGTGCGTATGGAAAACTCGCCTGGCACACCCAGTTCTGCGTTCCATGGCAGCTACCACTGTTGGAGAGCTCAGTGCTGGGGCCCAGCAGGGTTTTTGAGTGGGTGTGGGAAAGAATGAGGTGGGGACGCACCACAGGGCAGGTGTTGCCCTGGTCCTGCAGCTTCTGCATGAAGATTTTCTTTCTCCTGCAGCACCCTCAGTATTGGCTCTTTGGTGCTAGGAGCTGCGACATCTTTCCCAAATTTTGTGTTCGTGTGTATTTGTGTGTTTAGTTTTACTTTTTTAAAAAAAATGAATTTAGGACAGGGTATGCAGTGTGTACAGGGTGTATAGGGTCTCACTATGTAGATCGGACTTGTGGTGATTCTCCCATTTTCAGCCTCCCAAGTGCTGGGATTACAGGTGCGCGCCATCATGCCCAGTCTTAATTGCCATCTCAGTGTGCCCCCGGGGTGGGGCTGGCATGGCACATTGGGGATCAAATCCCAGCCGTTGTGCTCTGCCAAAGCAGGAGCTTTAGTCCACTGAGCTATCTGGCTGGCCCTAGTTTTACTTTTAGAACTGTTTCTAAAGGATTGTTGCTTGGCTGGGGGACAGAAATGTCTGTAGTGTCTCCTTCCCACTGGCTGGAAAGTCTGTGCTAAGCTGTGGGGTACGTGGGGCCTGAGGCCGAGTGTCAGCCCAGCCACTCTATGCCCTCATTCTGTCATTCTTATGGGACCCACGCCTTAGCTCCAACCTGGGCACAAGCTTGGCACCTCCTGCTGAAGGGTCTGTTCCTCACGTCGGGGACTCCCATCTGACCTGATTTTTTTTCTCTCCTCCCAGTCCATCTCTGCCATGAAAGTAATCCAGTTTCAGGGAGTGAAGCATAAAGCCAGTGCCCCAATTTCCCTGCCTCCGGTCACACGGCTTGACCTTACTCCAAGCCCAGAAGTGCCCCTGGAGATCATGAAGAGGAAGCTCATGAGCTCCAATGACTGGAGGGAGTCCCAGATGCTCATGAAACAGATCCAGCAGCATCTGGATGTGAGTAGTGTTCATAGGAGCCCTTCGCAGGGCCGTGGCCAGGCCAGGTGGGCCGGGGCGCCAGAGCGGGCCCTGCCTGCTGCTGACCTACCCAGCGTTGCGCAGAGCCTGCTGGCAGAACTGGCAGAGTTGAGGAGGGAAGGCTTCTGGAGTCTGGGGAGTGCTCGGGGCCGTGGCTCTGGGCCACACGGTGGTCAAGCTCACAGTGGGCCACGTGTACACCTGTGCAGCTCAGACTTGAAAGACGCAGACTCCACTGGGGAGGAGTGAGCTGGAGACGGGTTGGGAGGCGAGTATGAAGCAGTGCCCGTGATAGGAGGCTGTTTTTCATCTGGGAGGAAAACAAAGCCCCTTTGTGCCCACTGCCTGACTGTTGCTGGTTTCCCGAGGCGGCAGAGGCACCTACAAACATGTGGAGCCATTCATGGGACGGCAGTCTGTGCTGGGCTTGAGTTCCACAGCTTGCTTTGGGTTTTAACTGTAAACGTTTCGGCTGTGCTGGGCGATCCTGGAAGGCAGGGAACTGCAGCTGCCGCAGAAGCCTTGTACACGCTTCTGCCATCTTCAAAACAATTGCTGGCATTTCTCTTCACGCCCCTGGGGCGGTGGGAAGACAAGCCTTCAAGCGTGCGTCTTGGTACCTCAAGGGTGCCGGAAGCCGAACCAAGTGCACTGCAGTGTCCAAAGCTGTTTCTCTGCAGGTTCGGCACATCATGGAGAAGTCCGTACGCAAGATCGCCTTCTTGCTGGCCGAGTCCGAGGCTGAGACCGAGACGCTTCTGTCTGAGAGAGCCCCGCTCACGGAATATGACTGCTACAAGGAGGTGGTGACGTACTTCCGCACACACTGCTTCAACTGGCACTCGGCCAAGGTGAGGGGGGCGTGATCCTGCCCAGGCACCCTCAGGCTGACCTCGTGCCACCCACCACACGTCACCCCTGGAGGCTCCGTGTGGGCTGTGGAAACGGGGCTCATTTCAGGGTCTCAGCTGGAGCTGAGAGGACTATGAATGTCCAAGTTTAGGACTAAGTGTCACCCCAGAGCAGCGGGTGGGAGAGTTCCTCACAGTCATGGATGACAACTGCCACTGACAGTGGCACGGAGGAGCACCTACTTCTGCCCACACCGCTGCAGTCCCTCCCAGGCCCATCTCTTTGCCATCAGCCCGTGTGTGCTCTCCCAGCTGGGTCCCCCGCAAGTCCTCTCCACCACGTGTAGTTGAAGTCAGTGGAGGAAGATGGAAAAAGGAAGTTTCCAAAGAAGGGAGGGAGACTTGACAGCTGTCGAAAAAGCCTGGTGCTCTTTTCTCTGCATTGCTTGGTTCCCACTAGAAGGTTGGCAAGCCATGGCCTGCAGTCCAAACTCTCTTCTTCCCCCTTAGCCTGATTTTAAAATATTAGGTTTCGCTGCAACACCGCCACACCCTGCTCAGGGACCTCCTGTCTGGGGCTGCTTTCATGCTGTGGCAGGGTAGATGGCTGCAGTGACTATGCTTCAACCTGATCTTGCTTTCCTGTCCTCCCGAATTATTTAAAATGAATCTTCTTGCTCGTGGGTATTCCCAAACTTCCCTGAAGTTCTAAGATAAACGTTGATGCTTATTCCAGTCCTCCTCAGTGGTGTGGCCTGGCATTTGCACACTGCCCACCTCCCTCCTCTGCGTGTCCCTCACAGAACGAAGTCTCCAGAACAAAAGCAGAGTTCTGGGGGACATCGGAAGTTCAGACTGAGGCACAAGAGCAGGCTATGTGCAGACCCTGGCATGTGTTCATCTTTCTCGGGAGGGGGCCTGCATGTATCACCAGATTATCAGAGGGAAGAGGGGATCCAGGAGCCCCCAGCTGAGAAGCTTTGTCCCTGAGACTGAAGGAGAGCTGTTCCAAGTTTAAGTGTGGACTGCAGGGTGAGCTGAGGTGTCTGATTCTCTTTCGTTTTCTTCCAGTACGAGTATGCCCTGAGACACTTGTACGTCCTGGCTAACCTGTGTGAGAAGCATCCAACTGACAGGTAAAGCAGCACTCACCTCTGAGTGGTTGATGTCTTTCTGAAAATAGAAGGGAGCATGCCGCTGTGCCCACAGCGTTCAGGACAGCCTCGTGCTTGGTGACACTGTTGACTGTGATGGTGCCGCCTGGCATTATGTTTGTCTTCCTTCTCACCGAGCTCTCCTTCCTGTCTCCAACAGGATAAAGTCGTCCATGGACAAGGTGTGCCTTGGTTACTACTGAGCAACTGCCTTCTCGATGCTTCTCCAGGTGTGACACTGTCACTTAAAATGTGCCACCCAGAGGCAGTGGAGGTGGGGCCAGCGGGAAGCCAGGCAGCTCAGGCCCACCAGGGACTGTGGTCAGGCTGCCCAGCCTCCCCCAGGCCTCTGTCATAAGATACTGGCCCCCTCCTATCCAGTCTCCAGGATGTATGAGAAGCGCCAAAGAAGCCACGGTCGCGTGGGCAAAGCACTACTGAGCAAGGGCCTGTTTTTCTTAAGAGCTTTTTCTGCCCATTAGTTTTCAAGACCAAGAGGCTCATGGGGGCTTCTGTAGCCAGTGAGGGAATCTTTGTTCTGAGAAATTTGAAGCTGAAACCTCTTTGAAGTCTTCAGATGATTTTATTGAAGAGGGCTGTAAGCCCTCAAATGGAAAATTATTTTTAGAAAATATACTTTCAATTGCTTTTGTATTTTATTTTGCAATAATGGACAAATCTTAAGAAAAATAAAGATTTGTCATTGAAATCAAGTACTCCTTTCAGGTCCCTGACTTTGTCATTTATTCCCCTGGCCCTCTCGGGGGTGCCTACATCTCTGTTCTTCCTGGACTCCTGCTTCTCCTTCCTTTTCTTGGCATCTGAAGTTTTGCACTCTGGACGTTTTAGCTTCTGAGTCCTCATCCTTTGCGACCTCACTTTCCCTGAACACCTTTCCCTGCTTCTGCACAGACCCTTGGCTCATCTGACAGCACCCCTTATGCCTTGGAGTTTGCACAAACCCTACTCTGAAGTCTGTGCATCTCTGACCACAAGACTGGGCTGGGCTGAAACCAGACACAGATGTGTATGCCCCATACACCAGTGCTGCAGTGGTTTTGTTAACGATGTCACGCTACCGGTAGCCAAAGCAATATTGTGCCGCAATGAAAAAGGAATGAAGAAGGCCGGCGAGATAGCTCAGCAGACTAAGTGCTGATGCTTTGGCAAGTTCAGGAATGGGGTTTCAATCCCTGATCCCACATGCTGTGCTGGCCCCGGCCGGGGGCGGGGGGGCGGGCAGTGCACGGAGCCACCGAGTTTGGGTGTGGTGGTGCACGCCTGTAATCCCAGCGCTGGGGAGGCTAAAAACAGGAGGGTCAGTATGAGCCCAAGCTGCACAGTGAGACCCTGTGCCAAATACCTAAGTGAAAAGAAAGAAAGAAGAGTATATACTTGCTGCAGCATTAAAGACGACTCGAGGAAGCTAGCAATGAAGACCACGGATGATACAGTTCTTCTGTATAAAATGTCCAGAATATGTAAATCTGCACAGACAGGATAGTTCAGTGGGTCCAGGGGCTGGGGGCAGAGGGAACTGCAGACAGGTGTCAGATTTCTTTCGAGGGTGATGAAAATGTAAAACTGGCAATGACTGTACAATTTTGAGTACACAATCTTTAATACATACTTGAACTGCACAGGTTTGTTAAGACATTGATTTTGGAGATTTGAGAGACTTTGAAAACATGGATGATTCATGTAGCCTAGAAATGTCAAAAAAAATTTATATGAAATACATATATGAAAAAAAAACCTCCCTAGAAGGGGCCGAGGAGATGGTTCAGTAGAATAAGTACTTGCCTGGCAAGTGCAAGGGCCTGAGTTCAATCCCCATTTGGGGATGAGCGGCCGATTACCAATGAGGATGCTCAGTTCTTCATGATCCAGTGACCTCCAGGCCCCACCTCTGAGCACCGCTGCATGGTGGATTGAGTTCTGCGGGTGGCGGGGGGGCTACTCATTTAAACCACAATATGGCTGTATAGACAGATAGCACAGGAAGAAAAAGCATGCACTCAAGCCAGCTGCTCTGATGAGTGGTCTCTGTGTACGTCTCTCCGTCAGATGTGTGGCTCCTTTAACTCTAGAGATCATGGACCAGCAGTTAAGATGCTGGCCAATGACACGTCTGATTGAGTCAAGGGTGAGCTTTTTGTTTCGTAATGGGCCCATTTTTCACCAGCACCAGCAGATTCCTTTCTCTTATTTTCCTATGACTTAGGTTTAGGGAAATACTCGCCTTTGTTGTCCTTGAAGCCTAGCAGGGGACAAGCCTGCGGCCTGCTGATGGTCACAGCAAAGCAGACATTGAGAAGTATACTTTTAAAAGGGAGTCTCTTAAGACTTAAGATACAAGTGGTACCAGTTTTATCCTTTTGTCCCATAAAACTGTTGACTACCCCAGGACTCTGCCATCTCTTCTTATTTGACCTTTAGAACAAAAGCATATTGAATGATTTAATAAATACAGAGACTGATTATTAATGTTCTAGAGATGAAAAGCAGCTCTAATTCATTTCTGCGATGAATAACAACTTCATGAGTCACAGTGATTTGGTGTCTCCCTCCTCATGTGGTTCAGGGGACCCAGGAGAGAGCCATTTTCTATTAGATTTCTGTCTGTAAACAAAATTATTTTGCTACAACAAAACACACTAGCTGAGTATCTTGTAAACAAAAGATCATTATCTCACACAGCTCTGAAGGCTAAGAAGTCCAGAATGAAGGCGTGTACGTGTGGACTCTTAGATACTTACACTTGGACTGTAACCCAACATTTGTTGCCTAAATGACTTAGATTTGGCCCATGGGAGTGCTTTCAGTTGGCTCTGAGGCCCTTTCCACTTATCTCCTTGTCCTCATTAACACAGGTAGTTTTTGGTTTAAGGACTTATCTTTGGTCACTGCAGGATGTCCTAGGCTTATCTTCTATATTTCATGACTCGGTCCTAGAATCCGAACTGCTTCCTTTGGAAATTGGTGTTAGAAACAAAGATGTGGGTACGAAATGTGTTGGTTGCTTCAAGGGTGGTGTGGCTTTGAGGCCCTCCCAACTGGCAGAACAGGGAAATACACATGTGTACACTACCCCAAGTATACAAGGACAGGCCGAACTATGCATAAGTTCACACTGATGTCTACAAGCTACTATCATGTATATCATTCCAGCTTCTTGCTCTTATCTGTAAACTCCCACTTCATCAGAGAAAAACATGTCACCCCCATCCACTGCATTAAGCATTTGATTTCAGTATACTTGTGTAGCAGTATCGGAATAATTCCCCATTGGGGAATAGGTTTTTCAAGAACACTACCTTCCTTCCATGCAATTACCTTTTGAGTAACCGTCTTTACTCTTACAGGTTCATTTCCAAAACTTCCTCAGTTGGCTCCCCCCGCCCCATAATGTAGTTATTTTCTAGCCGACTGCATTGGAATTCTGGGATTCCCTAAAACCTGAAAGGGCTACTTTAAAAATTGCACACATTAAGGCTCACTCTTTATGCTGTAAAGTTCTGTGAGGGTGAATGCTTAATGTCAAATATCCACCAGGACATTTTGATGCAGAGTAATTTCACTGTCCTAGAAGTCTCCTCTGCTTCAGCTACCCAAACTTCCTTTCACCCCCAGCCCCTGGGCAGCCACTGATCTGAGTATTTCTACAGTTTTGCCATTTCCAGACAACAATCACATGCTTTGGCTCATATGATATATAGCCTTCTCGAGTTGGCTTCTTTTATTTAGTAAAATGCCTTTAAATTTCTTGCATACCTTAGCATGGCTTGACAACTCTTCATCACTGAATGCCCTTATATACATGTGCTGTCGTGTGTTTGTCTACCTATTGAAGGACTTCCTGGTGGTTCCCAGTTTTCTAGAAGCTTCCTAGAAGCCTTCAGTGGCAGTCTTCATGTGGACCTCACTTCAACTTAGATGTGTAAGCTACAGGGTGGTGATCATTAGCCCACTACGGAGCTTTGTGAGAAACGTGTCTTCCAAGGTGACCGCATGACGCTGTACTCTCACAGGCAATGAACGAATAAAGTTCCTTGCTCTGCCTCTTTGACTGAATTTATCATTTGTCTTCCCCCCCATTCTAATTATCAGTGTGTTTCCATAGTCTGGGTTGTGAATGTTCCCTAAAGGCCCATGTGTCAAAGACTCAGTCCCCAGTTTGATGCTATTGGGAGATGGTGGAACCTTTAAGAAGTAGGGCCTCATGGGAAGTCTTAGGTCATGGGGGTGTGTCCTCAAAAGGGATAATAGGACCCCAGCCCTCCTCTCTTCCGCACCTGGCCTTGATGAGGTGAATGGGCTTCTTCCACCTACTTTCTTGCCATGATGTCCTGTTCTCCCACCTGCCCAGAGCAATGGAGCCAATCAACAATGGGCTGAACCTTTTAAAACTGTGAGCCAAAATACAATTTTCCTCTTTCCTTTTTTAAAAATTTTACTAATATTGTTCTGTTTCTTTGAGACAGGATCTCTGTAGTCTGGCCTGTCCTCGACCTCACTATGTGGCCTAAGCAAGCTTTAAATTCACAATCCCCCTGCTTCAGCCTCCTGATGCTGGGGTTATGGGTATAATCTGGCTCAGGTTTTCCTCTTTATAAATTCATTATCACAGGTTTTTGTTCTGTAATGAAAGGCTGATAACCCATGTACAGTATTTCTTCATTGTCTAATTTACAGTTCCTTAAAGACAAGTCAAACTGAGCCACTTTCTGTATGATTATTTGCCACCTGCATGGCTTCTTTGGTGAGGAATCTGTCCAGATATTTTGCTCATTTTGTAGTTGTTAATTCAATTGTTAAAATCAATAATTTTTTACATACAAATCCTTTACCCTACATGTTTTACAAATAATGTTCTTTCACTTTGTGGCTCGTCTCTTCATTTTTTTACAGTATCTTCTGTACATAGGTGTTTATTTTTAGTATAAAGTACAAATTTATTTTTTCTTTCATAAGCCATGCCTTTGTAGCCTTCATTTATTTAAAAACATCTATCTGTTCTATCTTTTCCTAGTCAAGCATTTTCTTGTGTTTGTTTAGTCTGTGTCCCTCCTAGTCTTGACTTCATTTTTTTTCCTGTTTCATTTCATATTTCATTTTGTTTTGATACTCAGTCTTGCTATGTAGTACAGGCTGGCCTTGAACTCACTATGTAGCCCAGGCTGGCTTCTTGGCGATCCTCCTGCCTCAGCCTCCTGAGTGCTGGGATTGCAGGTGTGTGCCACCTCACCCAGTTCGACTTCTTTTTTTCTGAAATGCTTTTCTTTCTGATTTTCCCTTCTTGTTGCTAGAGTCTGATGTTAAATACCCCCAGCAGCCTGCATTGAGGCACTTGTCCCTAGCACGGTGCTCTGGGAGGTGGTAGAAGCATTAGGAGCTGGGACCAGTGGAAGGTCTGTCAGTTTGGTTTGCCATGATGTCCTGCCCCACATCCAAAGCAATGGTTCATGACAGAAACCTCTGACTCCATAAGCCAAAGCTAAATGCTTTCTTTCTAGAGGTTGGTGGGCTCCCCTTTATGATAGTGAGTGACACAAAGCTGACTGACACGCTGTTTCATGTCTGAGCTTTTCCTAGTTCTGACTTGGGTTGTTCTTTCATGCCTTTTAATGATTTTCTCCATGTTTCTCAGCTCTTTTTGAAATAAGGCAGTGCATTATTTTAGTTGTTTGGGTGTGTATGTCCCTAGGGAACTGGACACCCCATTTCACCAGCAGAGGCAGTCTCAGGCTTCCACGGGGAGTGGTCACCAGGCCATCCCTGAGACGGGCACTGAGCTCCAGGGGTAGGTAAGGCTCCTCTCAAGGACCTGCCCCTGTGTCCCTGAGCCCTGCCCTTCCAGAGCGCTCAGCCTTCCCCAGGGCCGAGGCCTTTCCCCAGCCCCATCTGTGCGGCTCCACAGCTTGGGAGCCTTCAGGCACATCACAGCCTCACACCCAAGCCTGACGGGACCCGTGTCCTCACAGCCTGTGGTCCCGTCTCAGCTGACGGCATGGCAGCCAGGCCAGAGCTCTGGCTGTTTTCTAGGATCTTTCTTCTCCTTCAAACCCTCCAATCAACTACCGCACACTGCTCACTTTACATCCTCACCATTTTCCAAAGATAACTATCTCTCTTCTTGTTATCAAGTAGCTTGTTTCTAAAAGGCAGCTCGCCAACTAAATGTTACCAGGCTCTGGATTGCTCCACTTGCCTCCTGGAGTTGGATTCCAGGTTCTTCTCATTCAATTCAAATAAAGAATTGAATGAAACAAGCAAAAAGTACTTTAATTGAGAAAATAAGAGTGAAGAGTGGGGGAAAAAATTGGCTCTGCAGAGTAAGCTTGGGCCCAATAATTAATAGAAAAAGAAGGTAAAAACAAGTACACGCTGCATCTGGGAATAACAGTGTGGGCTCTTTCAGAAAGGTATGAGAGCGCCAGCTCCTCAGGGTGAAATCGAGAGAGCCTCTACAGCCAGGTTCCGAGAGGCAGTGTTGGGGCCTCACGTCAGGCTGACTTGCGGTCTAGGCCTTCTACTCAGACCTGCTCCAGTTATCCAGAGAAGTCCTCGCACGGGCCTTTGGATCTTGTAGTTAACAGGTTGAGCCTACTTCCCCAACCAGTTTTTGCCATGCCCTCATCTCCTGCCTCACTCTGTACCCCGCGTGTGCCAGGTATCTCCTCCTCTCCCAGGCTGCTGCCGTGGGATTCAGCGGCCCTCACCACGGAGCATTTCCAGGCTCCTGCACTGCCAACCAAGCCCACTCCGGGTCAACTCAGCTTAGTGCAGCCTCGTCTCCCACTTGCCTCAGACTTTGCCTCAAAATGGCCAGTTGTCCTAAGAGCTCATTATTCTGTGCTTTTGTGCTTGTCTTCATTCCCTTTTTCTCATCAAAAATTGTCAAAGCCTAAGGTTGGAGTGGATTTCCAAGCCAGCGGGACAGCTGGCTACAGTCCGTAGGTGCTGGAGGACAGGGCCCCAGGCCCCGGGCAAAGGACTTCACTGTGCGTGAAGGGAAGTAGGCTCAAGTTTCCCATTTTCTGAGGCTGCTCTTTTGCCCAGTCCCAAGGCTGCTCTTTTGCCACAGAGCTGGGCCCAGGGTGGCCTGTCACACGACTTAAAACCCTGCCGCCCAAGCCCTCTGGTTCCTCGCAGGTGATTCCACACCCTCCAGGCCCTCAGGCCCCATCAATGCTGTTGTGCTTTGTGTCATCATCCTGGCCACACAGAGCCAGAAATGTCCCTGGAGCAGCAAGCCCTGAGTGTTCAGCTGCACTGGATACAATGCCTCAGGCAGACACGCGTAGCCCAGGGCAGGGAGCGCACAGGTTGCATCGTCAACCTGTCCACCCAGCCATGTGACTTCGGTGGCGAACAATCTCTGTGACTGTATGTGCCAGCGCTGCAGCTGTTCACTTTTACAAAAAGATCAGAGACTCCTCCTGCCCACTCCTGCCCAGGAAGCTGCTGACTCCCTACAATAAGCATTTTAAGGATCAGGAAACCGAGGCAGGAGGCTGCTAAGTAGCTAGCTAAGGACGTCCAGCTGGCCCGGATCCCAGGTCTCTGGCACCAAGGTCAGGCTTTTCCCATCACCCTGCTGAATGGGGTTCTGACCATGCAACCACAAATCTCAAGTTCCCTTCTGGCCAGGGCTGCGTGGGCTGCACAAGGGCAGTTCCCAGAGATCCTTTTTCAGAAGCCACCGTTTCCCAGAAGTCAGTGTCACAACTCTCAGGGCACGCTGCTGAGAGTTGGCATTTTTCTCCCCTAAAATCTCTCGTCTTCATGTGACCTTCATGCAAAGGCTGGGCCTGCTTCCCGTTCCCAAAGTTCCCCCTTCCTACCCCACAGGAGCTGTCCAGCAGCAAGCAGTCACCTGAGCACGTCAGGCTTTCAGACAGTGCAGGTTGCCGAGAGGGGAGTGTGTGTGTGTGTGTGTGTGTGTGTGTGTGTGTGTGTGTGTGTGTGTATTCAGGGTTTCCATCTACTCTGTCCTCCTGAGAAGCAGGCTGACCCCTAGTACAGACTTAGAACTGAGATAAGTTTCAGACACCCCATTCAGATGTGGGGCCACCGTGGCAAGGCATCTTTGGGAGCTTTTGTGACTGGCAGGAATCTCTGCCCAGCCATAGCGGCCGGCAGCAGCGCCAGGGCACAGCTGGGTCTCAGAAGCCCCAGTGACCTATCCCAGTGTAACTAGCACAGCCTCAGGTGCAGGGCCAGCGTCAGCTCCTGAGGGGAAGGGGGTCAACGTCAGAGCAGAGAGGATACACACATGGGTCTTGTTACTTAAACACCTGCGTGACTCCATGCTCGGGACCATGTGAATCCAGGACCCACAGGGACCCTGGGACACTCAGCCAGGACAGCCCTGTGATGTTCTTAGTCAACTGCTACAGGAGGGTCTCTGAGAGCTGGGGTCCAGACCCTTGGAATGCTGTGTGGGCACAAGAAACCGAGCCCTGGGTCTGGGCTCACTCAGCTTTTGGTTGAGACTTTTTTTCAGCTGAGTGACCTTTGGCAAGTTCTGACCCTTGGAAAGCAGCTGAGCTTGGAGACAAGGCTGTTAAAGAGGTGATTAAGTGAGGTCATTACTGTGGGCCCTGATCCAACAGGCCTGGGGCTTGCAGGACTCGAGGGCTAGAGGGTGTTTGTGGAGCAGATTGAAGGCCATGAGGACACAGTGAAGCTGTGCTTGCCACCAAGGACAGCTGCCTTAGAAGAAGCCACCGGGCCTCCCAGGCAGACCACTCCAGAGCTGGGGGTGGGGTGGGGGGGTAGGAATCATCTGCCTCCACTAGGCTTCAACACAGCAGCCCAGGCCCGCTCAGACTCTCCCATGCCCAGAGCCCTCGTGTCCCCTCCCTCCAGCCCTTCCATAGGAACTTTCGGATTAATGCCAGGGAGTGATTTACTAGTACCTGTACTGTGGAGCCCAGCTCAGTAATGCCATCTCCTGGTTAGATCAGGTCCCTTTGGCCTGTCACCTCCTTGGAACAGAGGCATTCAGATGACAGAAGCCCTTCGGATGGGAGACTCCGATGGTGGCCTCAGGTGGAGCCCAGTGTGTGAGCACATGCGGTATTCTTCCAGTGGCCCCTATAATCCAGCCCACTCGTGCTGACCCCTTCCCAGAAGCCAGGCACAAGATGCTCTGAACCCAGTCCTACTATGCTTGGGTGGATGAGGCTCCCTCTAGTTTCCTCCATTCCACCCAGGACTGGGCCTTCAGCTGCAAAGCCCTTCCCTGTCTCAGGGGCAGGGCGGAGGTACAGAAGGGAACAGTGTGGCTTTGGGCAGGGGGCCAGAACACAAACAGGCAGGGCCGGATTGCACCTGCTGACTAGCAGCGTGATCAAAGGGTTTAATCACACTGGGGCTCTACACCTGTGTCCCCAAGAGCTAGAAGCGTGCTGGCATTTAGTAGCACTGGTTAATTTTTAATAACTCCGCATCAGGACACAAACACAGAGCATCCAGATCTGCTGAAAAAATTATCTCTCTCATGAGAGAGAGAAGCCTGGGAGCGTCTGGGGACATGGATAAGGGCTTCCCGGCTGAACATGGGGAGTCAAGGAAGGCTTCTTGGGGCAGATGGCTTTGAAGCATGCACAGGAGTTGGCCAGGTGAAGCTCACAGGGAATGGTATTCCTAGGAGAGTAGCAGAGGCAAAGGTAAGAGGTGGTTCAGGGAATGACCAAGAGCTTGGAATGACGGGCATGCAAAAGATGAACCTGCTGAGGGGTAAACAGGGCCAGGCCCAAGCTGGTGCGCTGCGAGTGGCTGAATGCCCTGCGGGCCCTGGCACCGGAGAGGGTCTTCCAAACGGCCCCAGGCTGGAGTCAGGCTGTGGATAGGGCTGGGCTAATGAGTCCTTTCAGAGAAGGAAGCAGTATTTTTCGCCAAAGTGTTTTTATTACATGGCTCCAACAGTGCCTCTTACAACAGTGGTGTCTGCTCTCCCCTGTGGCAGAGGTGGGCTCCTCCATATGTCCTCGGAGCTGGCCCGGCGTGCAGGTCCCAAAGGGCTCAGGTCGCTGGGGCACTGCAGGCTGAGGGCAGGCTCCAGGCTGGGGGCATCCCTGCCTCAACACCCTGAGAGATGTTCCTGAGATGCTGGGGGAAACACCCCAGCTCCTCCCTGAGGGGCACAGTATGCGGTGGCAGCCAGGCGCTCCTTCCCCAGCCAGGGAAACTGAGCTCAGGCTCCTCTTGCCAAGACCAAAGAGGGCCACGGAGCAAGAGGGCCTGGCCTGGAGGCCACGCAGGAGCATGGGGCGGCCTGTGGGCTGCGGCGGGCCTCGGAGCCTCTTTGCTCTTGGAGCCTCAGTTTCTGCTGAAAAGCATGGCCTCCCGTGTTATGAAGTGCCTTTGGCTTCATGTTTTTACTATTATCCTGTCTTTGGCGGGTTGGTCTGGGAATGTGTGTACAAGTGCTTGTGGTTCGATGAGGGAAGGTGAGCGCAGGACCCAGTGGGGGACGGGGGACGTCCAGTCTGGTCCTCCTCGGCCTGGCCCCTGCGTCACAAGAAGTTGGGTTCCCGCACCACCAGGCAGGGTGGGCCGCCGTCCGCGCCCTCGTCCAGTGGCCGGTACACGAAGTGGAAGTCGCGCTTGGGCTCGCTGCGCAGCAGGTAGCCCTTGATGCGGTGCGGCAGCGCGTCGTCAGCCAGCTGGAAGCAGCGCCCGTCCACCAGCACGAAAAGCCGGTGGTCCTGCGGCTGCGGCACCTCGAACTTCTCGGCGCACTGAGCGCACAGCGTCTGCGCAGCCGTGTCCGCGCGCGATGCCAGGGTCCGCGCCTGCTGCTCGGGCTCCAGGTACGACACGCAGATGAAGTCCTGCGGGCGAGACGGGCGCCTGCGGTCAGCCGGAGCCCGGGACACCAGCGGCCCCCTTCCCTACTGTGTGCCGCCCAGAGGGGGTGACCCTTCGCCCTTCCAGGTTATTCGGTCACTTTGGAGTCGTGCAACGAGGAGCGGAGCGCCCCCTGGTGGCCAATGCGGAGGCTAGCCCTCCCTCGCTGGCTTCCTGACTTCCTCAGTGGGCCCTCCTCACCCCAGGTGCGACGCGGGGTGGTGTGGGGTGTGGTGACAGTATATTTAGAATGAGAGATGCAGGGCCACCTCCAACATCCTGCAATCCAGCCACGTAGGCTGGAATTGCCTATAGGGTTCAGAGGTGGGCGGGCAGTGGAATTGGGGTGGGGTGAGAATAGGGGAGAAAGGGGTTGGAAGCACCCTGTGTTTGTGTTTAGGACAGGCGGACGGGGCCACCGTGCGAGCAAAGGACACACACACACACACACACACACACACACAC